CGTTTCAAAAAACAGTAAGATCAATTTTCGTAAAGAAAAAAAATTTCTAGGGCATTTGCCTGAACTCAACCAGCGTATCTCTAAATGTAAAGGGACGTCCTTATATTCAGTATTTAATTCCTTCAAGAAAGAGATGAATTTTCGGTGTCGTTGAGCTGTTTCCTCCTCTTAAGCTGTTTACCATCTGCACCGCAGTTGTCAGAGTATCGTTGATTTTAATTATCTTGATGAATAATTCAATGAAACATAACACTTTCAGAAGATCATGGAAACATGATCTTCCATGTGGTGCAGTTTTAGAAGTTCCCCAGTTATACAAAAATCTTCACTGATGCAGGGGCGGCTCGTGATAGTACAAGCTGGTGAGGCACACTACACTTAAGGAAAATTATTATTATTATGATTAGCTTCTCTTTGCTCCAGTCATACCCGGCTAAGGAGGCATTGCTCGCGTCAGCAAACAATGACTTGGCGTGAGAAGGACTTCTGACGATACGCGCGCGGATCAACAAAAATCATCCTCACCTCAAAGCTCTCCTAAGCCCTCCTCCACCCTCCCTTATGTGCACTGAAGGTGCAACATAAGGGCTGACTGCTTTTTGAAAAAGTCCGCGATTGAGCTGTATTTATGAGCACCATGTGTAATAGGGTACTCATAAATGTAACTTAAATCATACCCAAGGTGTCGTTAAGCGACTTACTCCCGTTTATCATGAAATCTCATATCGTGAGATAAAAGCGAACGAAAAACGAGGGAGCTGTAATCCTCGAACCTGCACCTTGGTTAGCGGCCAAGTTGTAGCCTCAAGGATCTAGGTGGCCTCTCCCGTGGCCTTTTTGTATTTTTATAATTTTTTTGTGAATTTTTTATTATTTTATATATTTTTTTGAATTTATATATTTTTTATTAATTTTTTTGGGATTTTTATATTTTTTTGGGGGTTAGTAGGTATTTTTTATCTGGGAGATTTGTTAGTAAATTTGGTAGATAAAAATTCAAATAAATCTTGAGCAGAACGCCCGGAACTTACATCGTAAAATCCTATGAATCGTTCGACTGGTTTATTGTTTATTACGTAACGAAAAATAACGGATAGTTGTGAATGGCAGCTTATATCAGTAGTGTCATCCACCTGCCAGGAAAAGAATAATGATTTTGAAATTTCTTCCTCAATTTTTTTATTTATAACAAAAGCAATTGAATCGATTAATTCATTTTGTATGGTTTTAGATGTCCCAGAAAAAACTGATCTAGAGTCATTATCATGTTCTAAAAATGTTTTTTAAATTAGTGTCAAATTTACTAACAAGAACAACTAGCTCTTTGAAATTCCCGCAATTTAAAGATTCATTAGATTCATCATGCCCCCTAAACGGTAACTCTTGCATACAGAGGTGTGAAGTAATATCTGTAAGGCTTTTTAAAATTTGCCGATTTTCTTTAACCCTAGCATTGAAATTTTCAATATCTATTTTACGCGAATTGTCTAGTACTGTAGCGATATTTTGCTTTTGTTTTCTCATAAGAGTAAGCTTGCAATTCGATGTAATATGTTGAGAACTTTTATTGTGTAACAATAGACTCCGAGACAAATTTTTCAAATCAGTATAACCATTTTTGAACCAAACTTTGTCGCTAGTATTAGTTGTGGCAAATAAAATGCATGGCCAACAAAACAATTTATTTAATGTTATACTACCCGTAAGCCAGTCAAACTTTTCGTACCATGCATTTTGAAATCCCCGATTTGGTTTTCCGACGCCACCGATAGAAACAAGATGTTTACTTAAATCTGGAATAGGTCGGTTTACTACTTTAACTATATATAATTTATCTTCATATGAATGACTTGAAAAATTCTGCTGTTTGACTAAAAAATTTACGAGATTACAAGTATTACGAATATTTACATTTACCTGGGACAGTTGTGACGAAGTGCTCGGTGCTAAATCCATTTTTCACTAAAACCGAAAATCCTGCAGACAAAAACAAACCCACCAAAATTATTAAAAAAACTTAATTAGATTTGCACTTATTATATAACATGTAATCTTACTGTTTTTTTAATGAAAAACAACACGAGATACGTCAAACGTGATCCTGCCGCGCCAACAGGTCAACAGGAAGTAATTTAACTACTACTTACTACAACAATTTTGCAGAAATGTTCCAAAATGTACCAAAGTAGCTAATCTGGTAAATGCATAGAAAAAAAATATTGTTTGTTAAATCGGAAAACAATAGAACAATATGTATAGTACCATCTACTAAAGGAAAATACTCCAATGTTGTTACAATTTTCAAATAAAAATCTATGTTTTATTTAAAATGTACTTTTATACCCCGAGGGAAAAAATGTAGCGAATTGGGTACCTTTGTACCAAAACGGCAACGCTGCTAATTAAAAGAACTACACCAAACCAGAGAGGCTTGCCTCTCCTGTTCGGTGAAATAGTGGGCAGAAAATAAATAAATCATGTTGAATTTCGCTACATAATGTGATGTGTAATATGCTAGACAGAGCAATGCCGTGAGGCTTGCCTCGGCTATAATTTTTAAAGAGAGAATAAGATGCACAGATGATAGGCGCCGTTGTTTATTTAATATTTTGTGGTTTAAGGTTGTCCGGCCCGTAGATTATGAAGAAATATACAAAGATAAGACATCAGGGGTGTACCTATTTTAATTTTTTATCATAATGAAAATAAAGTTATTTAGAAAATTCCAAAAAGTTAAATTGTAGTTAAAGAACGTAAATAGTCGATTAATACTGGTGAGGCACTGCCTCACCTGCCTCATAGGACCAGCCGCCCCTGCACTGATGCATCTAACAAAAATTAATAGATGATTTTTGTCAGTAATATCACAAACTATGTCTACAATTTTTTAAATACATGAGTATTCAACTCATCAACTCTTCTAGATACAGTTTGATGGGAAACTGAAACACATTTAAAATTTTTGGCCATCTTTTCATCTCCAATGGATCGTGCCATTTTAACGGCACACCGCTTGATCATTTCTCCATCTTTAAATGCTTTTTTACTTTTGACAAGCTCTAAACATACTTCGTATGATGCTGCTAAGCTTGATGATTAAACAGCTGTCGGTTTTGTAAATAGAGGTTTTTGTTTATTCAATTTAGCTTTAAAATTCTTTCACAAGAGTATTGTGAGCTTCACTTTGATATTTGTCGTATTTTGTTTTGTGCTGGGCTTCATAATGCCTACTAATATTGTATTCTTTTGATACCGGTTGTACTTGACAACAAGTAATACACTAAGGTTTGCCTTTTAATTCGATGAAGAAATCATCATCATCAATGGTGCTACAGCACTATGAAAGAGCCTCGACGTTTCCAAGTCTATTACGCCAGGCAGTCCTATCCATTGCCAACCGTTGCCAATTTGCTGCGCCTATCTTTCTACCATCCTTATCTACACCATCCTTCCATCTGAGTTTTGGCCTACTCCTTTTTCTGCTTTCCACGGGTTGTGACATAAGGATTCTTCTAGGAGGGTTGTTCTGCTGTGATCTTGCTAGATGTCCTGCCCATCTTAATTTTCCTATTCTTATAAGAGATACTACGTCTTTACCATGGACCAAAAGACTAACATGGCAACAGAAAGGAATATCCATCGATGGAGAAAGATTAAACCATCTACGTTTTGCGGACGATATCGTGCTTCTGTCAGATAATCTGGGAGAGATCAAAGACATGCTCCAAGAACTGAATGACATACTACAAGAAACTGGGCTGGAGATAAATTTTGAGAAAACCAAAATGATGACCAATATGGTTCTCAGCGAAGAGATACAGATCAATAACAACAAGGTAGAATTAATCGATAAATACACATACTTTTGTCATGTAATTAGAATAACCAGAGACAACCAAACCTGCGAGCTAAATAGACGAATCACGTTGGGATGGGCGGCATATGGACGGATGAGAGACATTTTTAAAACAAATATCCCAATTCACCTGAAAAGGAAGGCATTTAACCAATGCATCTTACCAGTCTTGACCTACGGAGCAGAGACCTTAACTTTAACGAAAGCTACTGCCGAAAAACTGAGGATAACACAAAGGCGAATGGAGAGATCAATGCTGGGCCTGACCTTGAAAGATCGCGTAAGAAATGAGGAGATACGCCGACGAACTGGCGTAGACGATATTATACTGCGAATCAATAAACAAAAGTGGAGGTGGGCTGGACATGTTGCTAGAATGGAAGACGGAAGATGGACGAAGAGATTATTGGAGTGAAGACCAAGAGCCGACAAGCGAAGTCGAGGCAGACCACCCACCCGATGGACCGACGACCTAAAGAGAATAGAAACAAACTGGATTGCAGCAGCTAGAGATAGAGAGAACTGGAGACGTTTGGAGGAGGCCTATATCCAACAATGGATGTGAAAATTCGGCTGGATGATGTTGATGACGTCTTTACCACCAAATATTTGTTTATATCTGTGGTATACCTCGTAGTTGTATCTCCTCCTCCAAACACCATTTTCACAGATGCCACCAAATATTCGTCTCAGGATCCTTCGTTCAAATCGATGAAGAAATATTGGTTTTTTCTTTTTCCTTGGGAAGTACGATTCTCTTCGAAAATTTTGCGTTGTTTTGCACTACTCATTCTGAATTTAACATTCAATTTATTCGCCACTGTTAATTCAACAGACACGTGCAGCTGACTGAAGCTAACTGCCCGCTCATCGGAAGTGGGTGTTCAAGGTTAACTACTTTCTTAAGATTACGGAAAGTTCTACAGGGTTGGAACAGGTAAAAGTTATAAATGGCAATAATTTTGAAATGTGTTTGCGGGGGCCGCAGTTTAACGAGCCTTGGGCCGCATGCGGCCCGTGTGCCTGAGGTTGGACCACACTGTTCTATACCGTAATGGAATTATTGACAGATATCGCACTAAAAACTCACTCTGTATGTAATGATAAAAGTATGTACTCTTTTTTAAAAGTAATATATTTTCAGATTCAACTATTCTTTGATGAACCTAGCACCACTGGTAAATTCGGCGATGCTTACGACTGTGTTGGTTTCACGACTGTTCCAATTTGGTCTGGTTTGTTCGTCACAACAATTTTGTTGATCATTATGTCCATTGGCATCACAATGATGATGGACATTAGAACGATGGATAGATTTGATGATGCCAAGGGCAAAACTATTACTATAAACGCGGAATAATTCTAATCGCTAATTATAAAGCTATTTTGCTAAGCCTGAATCGTTTACTAGTAATATCACAGTTTCTTATACACATTTGTACTAAAGTTACCACAATGAACACTTTATACTAAAAATGGCTCTAATAATGTATATATATACAATGTATTCCATTTAGTTAAATAATTGTACCTGTGGTTCATGTATATTATTAATTTACCAATAAATGACTTGATTTAAATTTTTAACGTTCAATTATTTTGACAGTATTGTGTTTTTTAATGCTATTAATCTTTATTATAGTACATATATTTGTATATTTTTCCAGTACCTGACAAAATCTGATTTATGTTTAAAAGATATGCGCGTGCGCATTAAATGAATCTATTTTATTCCAATAAGCTATGCAGGGAGTCATATTGACGTGCAAAATCAACATGACAAAATTAGACAGTCAGGTCTGGCCTGACAGAGTACCTACTTATTGATTATTCAGTTTCGTCGAGTATCCGTCCATTATGGGATGTTTATGCCCGCACTTTGTGAGCAGCACAGAACATATGGGTGGTTATATAGAAGCGGATTACGATGTTTTAAGCATGAAATTTGCTTATATGCTCAATCTTTTGGATATACGTTTTTGAATAATTAATTGATTTTCACAATAGATATATTTATGGTAATCATGGAATTGCCAGAAACAAAACAATGAAGAAATTAATATGAAAATATTACAGAATGAAAGATTTAAGTCTCTCTGTACATAGTACAAGACCTGCAACACTTATTGGAACAACATATAAAGTTTATTAAACTAAAACAGTATTCTGAACTATGTACCGCTGACGTTTTCCACAGCTGGTGTAGTGTACTTTATATTTACACCTTTCTTGCTTAGCAATATAAGCTATAAGCGATAACTTATCTCTTAGCCTTCCCCAAATTTAGCTCAGTATTTCACCTGATAAGATCTATATTGGAAGATGATAAGCTATTGTGATAATTCGGCTTTTATGTATGTCATCTTATCTTATATATGGGTCTTTTTGGGTCTTGTGCTGTAGATCTAACTGCCTATTCTTCTTCTATTTCCCTTGGACCTAAGAATAATTGCCTCTTTACTAATTCATTAAAATCGTATTTTTATTAACCAGGTTTTTGTAGTGTCCTCAATTTTTACAGCATATACATGTCGTTTATATCTGTTGGTATATTTTCATAACAATAATTATCTTCGATTTCGTTGTTAGTTGTACTTTTTCCTAACCTCACCTAGAATTTTAGTACTTTTTATGTAACATCCAGTATATTATCATATTTCTCCTTAACTTAAATGTCATTAATTAGATCGGGTTGTAACTTTCCCCATACATATTCAGATTTCAATTTTTCATCTACCTATTTTGACCTTTTCGAAATTGTTAATTTTTGCAGATTTTTTATCTTTACTTTTTTCCTAAATCTGTTTTGTGTTCCATCATTTGGTTTCCAATAATTAACTTGTTTGGATGTTCAACTTTTCCAGCCAACACTATTTCAGCTTGTAATATATCGGCTCCATATTTTCTCATAATACTTTTTCGAATAATGTTGTTTCTTATACACCTTTATCTATAGTTTTTAAAATATATATCTAAGATATTATTATGGCTGTCATTATTATATTTTTGGCCACACTCTCTTAAACATTGTTGTCTAAATTAAAAATGTTTTCGAACCCGTTGATAAACCATCCGTAGTTATCATTATTCATTTTGAAAGTGTTACACTTCTTTGTATTCCTAACGATTTCATAAACGTTGTGAGCTTAAAAAATTGACGACGATAATATAAACCTTTGGTATATTTTGAGTCCCACACCTGAAATAACAGAGACTGAAATTTGTTTCGAATTATGGTCATTGTTTTTAATGACGTTTTTTTGGCAGTAAATAATTATTTCGTGGGAAGAAATTAATGTCGATTTTAATGTATTAACTCTATCCTAAAACTGCAGTACTCAAATGTTTACCAGTTATGAAATCCTACTTGCGCAGTAAAATTGACCAACAAAAGACAAAATTTTAGGTTTAGAGATTCATGGAACATTTCACAACTGGTAATAAATATGTACAAAGTACTAAATTCAGTAGTCATATACCTACCATCCAATAACGTAGAGTTACCAGAACTCATACATTTACCAACACCTTCAACAAAATATTGAGGATAGGTGAATTTTAATTTGTAGTATGATCACTATAAATTTTTAATGTGAGTTGTAAATGTAATATTCATGTCTACAATAAAATTAATAAGTGTTAAATGTATTTTCTTATTGTTGAGTACTGTAAGAGCAACATGAAAACACTGAATTGAATCGAATTTTGTCCATGAGATTTAGAAAGTCATCCTTCCTATATACACAATTTACATTATATATGACAATAGTATTTTTATTATCTTTTTGGATTTATATAAACCTAGTGACTTGTTGTTCAAGTAGTAGTACAATAATTGTTAAAAAAAATGTAGCCTTGTTAAAAGAAATTAGGGTACTTGAAAAAGCTTCTGGCCTATTTTGTGTGTTAGGTCTTCACTATTGAAAAATACACTAATTTTGTAGGAATGTATCTTGTTTGTTAATTATTTTGTAAATAAAATCACATATACCCCTGTTATTGTATAGTACATATGTTAAAAGTGGCCTTAGTTCTACATTATTTCATGTAATTTCGTATTATTTTCATCCAATTGTCACATCCAAAGGTGAAGGGCTTAAATATTGTTCATAGTTTAGTAACTTCTTTATTTGTACATAATATATAAATCAATTCAGTACCATTTAATCTGTTGCCAAACAGTGTAGACTATATGTCATCTTAATAAATTATTCTATAGCATCTTTGTATTTATTTTACCTCACCATTCAACCTTATCGAACCAGATCGACTAGTTCGATTCCAATTAATTAGATTTGATTTTAAGATTCGAATTTAAAAAAAAATACCCCCAGAAAAAGGTAAAAACAGAAATTAATAAGAATTTTTCGAAAATAGTTGAAGACACTACTAGAGGCATAGAAGAACAATGGAACGAAATGAAGACATCTATTACCACAATTTCGCATGAATATCAAAAAGAGAATTTAAAGAATGGACGACAGATAAAATATTGCTGATGATGGAAGAACAAAGAATATTAAAAGGTGGAAATGACAACGAATTTGTCCGGTCTATTAAAATTAATAGACTAAGGAAGATCGACAATGGATCAAATATTTACAGTCAAGCAGGTCTTGAGCAAATCGTGGGAACACGACATTGATGTTCACAACATGTTTGTAGACTTCAAACAGGCATACGATTCAGTCAAAAGGGACAGACTATACTATATATTGGCAGAATTAGCAATACCACATAAGCTAATTAGACTCATTAAAGCCACAATGGATGAAACTCAGGCATGTGTACGAATACAAAACAACCGGACAGACTTTTTCAAAATCTCGCAGGGACTAAAGCAGGGAGATGGGCTGGCACCAACATTGTTTAACCTGGCACTGGAGTATGCGGTCAGGCAAATGCAAACTGGACGAGAAAACCTACTGACCAATAAAACGGTTCAACTGGCTGCCTACGCCGATGATATTAATATTATGAGTAGAACATCAACAGGAGCACGGGAAGCATACGCAGAGTTAAAAACACAAACGAAAAGGCTAGGTCTGGAAATTAACACAGAAAAAACAAAAATAATGGTACAGACGAGAAGAAATATAATCCCACAAAACATTATACATGAAGATGACATTGAAACGGTTGGAAAGTTTACATACCTGGGAGTAGAAATATATGCCGATGGAGCAGAGGATGGAGAAATACGAAAAAGGATAACGCAGGCAAACAAAGCTTATTTTGCCTTCTCCCATATATTTCGGTCTAAAAGTGTCCACCGAAATACAAAGATGAGAATATATAAAACTTTAATTCGGCCAATAGCATGTTATATCAGAGAAGCATGGGTCCTGAAAGAAACATCCAAAAACAAACTCGACACATTCGAAAGAAAAGTACTGAGGAGAATACTAGGACCTGTGAGGGAAAACGGAATCTTCAGAATTCGATATAACAACGAGCTCTATCAACTGTATAAGGAAACACCCCTGTCAAACTTCATTAGAATACAAAGATTGCAATGGGCCGGACATGTGATACGAATGGGAGAGGATAGGCTACCAAAACGAGCACTGAACGCCAGAATGCAGGGAAAGAGACCAGTTGGAAAGCCAAGAAAGCGCTGGGAAGACACAGTAAGCAGCGACGCACAAGCACTTTTAGGGGTCCGTGTATGGAGAAGAGCAGCCACAGACAGACAAGGGTGGAGGCAAAAAATAAAGGAGGCCAAGGTTCATTTTGGGCTGTAGTGCCGTAGAAGAAGAAGAATTAAAATTAATAGACTAAGGTGGCTAGGACACTTTGAAAGAATGGACACTGGAGACCCCAAAGACAGATATTATATAAAGAACCAGTAGGAACCAAGAAGAGAGACAGGCCAAGATCTAGATTTAAAACTCAAGTCGAAGATGACTTGAGGAATATAGAGGTCAGAAATTGAAAAGCCAGGGCGAAAGATAGGGGGAAATGAAGACTAATTCTTGAACAGGCCAAGGCCCACCCAGGGTTGTAAATCCAAAGAAGATGATGAATGGCAACGAATACAAAAAGTTGCATAAGACTATACTAATCGAGATAAAAGAAGTATGGAAGTTGAAACACTACAACGCAAACATGACGATTTCCATATGCACAAAAAAAAGAGGTACAGAATACCAGAAAACAACGCAATACAGGCATAGTTGTAGACATTGAAGGCCAAATTTTGACTGCCATTGAAAATAAATTACGAAGATGGAAAGAATACATGCAAGAATTATTCGAAGATGCAGCACGGAGTCTGACTGAAATAAACAATCCATACGGCCCAGAATAACAAACGAAGAAGTAACTATGGTCATTAAGCAGATTAAAGATGGGAAATCACCAGGACCTGATGAGGTGCATGGTGAAATCTTAAAGATATTAGAGTCACACCAAATCACAGCTCTTACGAAGCTATTCAACATCTACGAGACTGGTTACTTACCAAAAGACTGGCTACAAAAAAGCCAACGCTAGAAAATGTGAAGAACATAGATTAATTAGTTTGATGAGCCATGTACTCAAAGTACTCCTTACTATCATTCACTCGCACATATACACCAAATTAGAACACCTGAGTGAAGTTCAATTTGGATTCAGAGCGGAACGAGGGAAACACTTTTTAGTTTGCAAGTTCTAATACAGAGAGCCAGGGATGTCATCTGCGATGTGTATGCATGTTTTATTGATTTTTAGAAGACATTTGATAATTTCCCTCATGGGAAACTAATCGATATCCTAAAAACATCAGGACCCGATGGTAAGGATATAAGACTGATCTTAAACTTATATTTCCAACAAAAAGCAACAGTACGATTAGAAAATGAACTGTCCAAGATCTTCACAGTCGAAAAAGGCATTAGACAGAGTTGCATATTGTCACCGGCATTATTTAAGATATCGTCGTCGTCACGGCAAAACTCACTAAGTCCATTTTTGTCAAAATTGAGTTAAGTGTACTGATCGATTCACAATATCAATTTTCACAGTCTGGCAGATATCATTAAGTCCTACCAAGTATGTAGAGTTGGCTGCCTAAAGCATAGAATATACGTAAGTGCAAAATTACCATTTTGTTATCAGGCAGAAGTCACTAACTGGACGTAATGATGTTTGCCTGATTACGATGCGGCAGATACTAGTAAAGAGTATCACTTAACGAACGATAAAATCAATCAGTTATTTTGTAATGCTGTATTATTTTGTTCATGTCTTATCTGGCCACAATATTACTGTTCTCGAGCAGAAGTTTCTAGAGTCAGGACATACGATGATGGAATGCGACAGTATGCATAGCGCCATCGAGAGAGAAAAGAGGTATGTAGCAGTATATACGCTTCATGACTGGAAAAATATTTTTGTCAAAGCTAGGTCTAAACAAGGCATCAAAATGAAGGACCCTTATGTAATCCATGAGCTACAATATTCAGATTTTATTAACTGGAAACTACTTGCAAAAAATATGGTAAAAAACACAAAACTAAATAAATCTGGTGAAAAAGTTAGGTGGTTGCAAATAAAATGTTTCAGAATGGAGAGGGAATATCCAGGGATCATCAAATATCGCTACGAGCACTACGGTCCTTACTTTGAACTAAGTATTTATGGACGAGGAAGACCTCCAACACAAGCCTCCCTATCACTTCAACAAGCTTACCTAGGTATGCGTCCAATTTCGTTAGCAAAATTTAATGATTTACAGAAATTATGCACTACCGACGTTATTCCTTTGGAGTTCCATGCTTGGTATTCGGCTCTGCCAACCTCCAAATCAGTTATTGACAGAAATACTGAGCCCAATATTTATAGCGATAGTGAATCAGAGGGAAGCTTAGATGAACAGCAAATCTAAACTCATTGAATTTTAGTTTTCATTTCTCTAAATGTGTTTAGTTTAGTGAGTTATTTTAATTTAAGTAATAAACAATGTTCATAATGTGTTTAACTAATTCACCAAATTTACCTTTTACCAACTTGCCAGAAATCACTAAGTCCATTAAATATTGTTTTTGACCAAATAACATTGATTTAAAAAAAAGATGATGTATTCACATCTCAAAGCATTACTAGACGTCTACAATTGCATCGGTAATTTCCTTGACTTTTACAAGGATGAATTTTAGACAACAATTAAAACTAAAAATGTTCGTTTTCTCCGATCTCTTATTTTGGACTTAATGACTTTTGCCGCGACGACGACGATATACTGTGAAAACATCTTTAGAGAGGCCTTGGACGAATCAGAAGATGGGATTCTGTAAATGGCCAAATTATAAACAACATTAGAAATGCAGACGATACAGTGTTGCTGGCAGATAGTGCGCAGGGGCTTCAAAAGATGATGGATAACGTTGTAGAAGCATGTAACAAATACAGCCTAAAACTAAATTGCAAGACAAAAATAATGATCATTAGTAAGAACACCGGCATAAACGCCCAAATTACAATTAACGATACACCGTTAGAAAGAGTGGAAAAAATATGCTATTTTGGGCTGCAATATTAACGATACTTGGGATCACAGCTACGAAATAAAAACTCGTATTGAAAAAGCCAGAAGCTCTTTCAACAGTCTTAGGAAGATTCTCTGCAACTTATTTTTAAGTATCAATATATGCATAAGAATTCTTAGATGTTGCGTCTTTAGTGTCCTCCTCTATGGAGTAGAAAGCTGGAGCCTTACAGAAGATGCCATAAAACGATTGGAGGTGCATTTGAAATGTGGTGCTACCGACGTATGTTGGGGTCTCATATATAAACCACAAAACTAACATAACTATTCTCCAGAGGCTAAGAAAATACAAAGAAATGATTAACACCATAAAAAACAGAAAATTTGCTTACTTCGGCCACATCATGCGTAATGATAAATAGCGACTTCTACAGGGCAAGATTGAGGGTAAGAGAGGCCCTGGACGTAATGGATTGATCTAACGTCAACTCATCTATTTCGAGCTGCTGTGAATAGAATAAGATGGGTCAATGTGGTCGCCAACTTCTCTAGAAAATAGGCACATTTAAAAGAAGAAGAATCGACTGGAATCGAATCAAATAATTTAAATTAAAAACCATCTCTCCGTGCATAGACGATAAGAAAGCTATTATTCCCCTTCTCGGTCACTCCAGGAATGCCACATCCCGTTTGAATTTGAAAGAGGCAAATTTGAATATCTCAAAGATGAAGAAATAAGAAAATTATGAGCAATATAAAATTTTGGACGAAAGTTTATATTAACCTTTAAATACTGATGCGGAGACTACCAGACTGTTTTTAAAACTGTAATAGGTTGACTCATGATACTATGTGTTCTGTGATACTATGATAAGAAGATAAGATATTGCGCATAAGTCGTGACGTCATTGGAGAGTTGCACGTTCGAAATGTCAGTTTTTTGTATATGTCAATAAATAATCTTTAATAAATAGTTTGGAGATATCCTTATGTGTACGATTATTGTAATTATTGAACCTCTTAACTTATTTTCGTCTAGTAATTTCATCACAGAATGCATACAAATCCCATTTAACTTTAACAAGAATTCAAATTCTACTCTCCAATGACGGCATGCGCGAACACGACCGATTTTGTGCTACGGGAAGATCCTATCTTATTCATAGTATCATGGGTTGACCATGACTTTACCCAAGGTTAGTAAAAGGGAGGTTGCATGGTAACTCTTGGCATTGACAGAATGAAATATGACGTGTGACGTCACCAAGGGGGTCAATTTGACGAATTGTTTGAAAACAAAATAGGAGAAGTGGTTTGGAGAATATATTTTGTTGTTAAATATCGTTAGAGCTTTAGTTTATGTTAATATCTTGAGATATAATATGTCTATAGATATTATTGAGTGATTTTTAGTATAAAACTTGGACCCAAAACTCTTATACAAGTGTTAAGATACATTTAACGTGGTTGTGTCTTACTGGATTTTGTTTCTGCTGTATTATATTGTAAAGGTAACATTGGGATTAATGCAGGAAAAACATAACTTAATTCAATTTTTTTATTGATTCAGATTACTGGTGGAAATATTTGTAGTGTAGCAATCGGCAAATATAATTCAAAAAATTCCAAAAAGGATGGAAGGAATTTAATGTTTTTTACATTTCCAAAAAGTGTAAATATTCAAAAGCAATGGATGAGCAAGTGTCATGGGAAGGATAAGTGGCCCTGTTTTAATAAAATAGTTTGTAGTATACACTTTCGCATGGACGATTATGAGGATGCTTTAAAAGCTAAACTATTAAACATAAAAACATAAAAAGCTGAAAAAATATCGTAAGTAGGTATAGTCATTTAAATGTTCAGTAAAAATGTGTTAATTCACTGATTTTGATTTTTATAATTTACTGTTAATTATGTACAACTTAAAAGGTATCTATTTAATGGAATCATGTTTTAATATTTTTTATATTCTATTATATAATCCAGTAATGTAATCAGATGTTTCTTAAATATATTGAAGTTAAGGGAAAAACTACTAATTCTGATATATAAATCTTTAGTTGAATCTCGTTTTCAGCATGGTTTACTTGTTTGGAGGAATTTATAATAATCCACTAATGCATTATACTCAATTCAAAATAATTAAAAAAAAGTAAATTGTATTTAATCCATTATTAATATAGTATATTAACATGTTTTAGTCACATGTATACACAAGAAAGAATCTACTTCCAATTTAATATAGTAACGCTATTCTACTACATATGTTTAGCTGGAATAATATTTTATGATTTCTGTAACTCTGCAGGTACTTATCTCCCACATTTTTTAAAGACTGAATGCAATAAATAGTCATTAAAAGTCCAAACGTATTTTTTTCGATATACATATATAGATTATAGATTGATATAATATTTACAATCATTGTTGCTTTTCGTGTTCATTTCAAGGAGTAAAGTGAATGAATTTGAATGAAGCATTCTCAGTGACGTCATTCCCGCCGTTAGATTCTCGACGCTGATTGGTGTAAAGTTACCAGACAACCTGTCTATTTTTAATAACCTTGGAGTTTACCAAAAAGTAGAAGCTGAATATAGCTGCAAATGTCAACCATGAAATAAAATATTTCGGTTTGGTAGTGTTGCGAAGTTTTTTAATGCATATGTTGTATGCTTAAAATATAGAGACATTTTAATTATACTATTTTATGCATTCTGTAATTTTTATTTTATATGAAACAGTAACGAGTAAATCTCAAATCAGCTCTATAATTTGTGTGTGTTCTGTCGAATGACGTATAATCAAAACAAGTTCTGTGTTGGTTGTTGGTTGACACGTTGACAGAACTGGACAGAACAGAACTCGAAAGAGTGTAATCCATTCTGTGACCCGTGTAATTCTCGAAACTAGAAAATTAGTAGGTGTATTTGGTTTAGAACTTTACCTATAACTTTTTATAGTTTTGATTATTAAAACATGAACTAATACTAAACGGTTTTGTAACTTTGCTCTTGAATAGTAAAGGTAAGATAAATTGAACATTACTTTCATATATAATAATGAATATTATGTTGTTTTAGAAATGCAGAGGAGATTAATTCATATAGTTTTATCATTTTGTTCAATTTTACATAACATACTTGGATTTAATGGATTAGAACCACCAATTAATAGTTTACAATTGCCACCATGCAAGGCGTGTAAAACTTTTGTAGAATCTTTTCATAAGGTAAGGATAAAATGTTTTATTACAACAAAACTGACGTGGTATTCTGTAATTGGTTAACAAGCTATTGAGTTATGTAAAATTGATATAATTTAAGTTTATCTTCCAATTTCTGTATAAAATATAGCGTTATATTAATCCAATCTAAAGTAACATTAAAAGTAATCATAGGTAAAATGTTAGGTTATATTGTTGTTTTGTACTTAATGAAAATATTGCTTGAAAATGGGCTATAGATATCATTTTGTTTATTCAAAGGAATTGATTAAAATTTTCTGAATGTTTAATGATTTTATTACATTTTAGGGATTAGAGAGAACATCAAAATACAAATATGAAGGAGGAGACACTGCTTGGGAAGAGGAGAAATTGGGTACATATGCAACCAGTGAAGTTCGCTTTGTAGAAATTCAAGAAAAATTATGTTCAGAGGTTCATAATGGCAAAGATCAATGTTATAAACTGCTAGAAGAGTATGAAGATACTCTTGAAGAATGGTGGTTTGACAAACAATCTTTTGAACCAGACCTATTCAATTATTTATGTGTTAAATCCTATCAGGTAATGAATCACTCATCTATATAATGTATTGGTTTATGTAGTTATCAACTCATTATGATACAAAACTTTCTGTTCATTTTAATATTTGCTATGCTTAGTTAACCTTTCAGTGCTAAAGTGAATTATTTTGACATAAGTGCTAATGTCCGTCTCTGGGACTGTATGTTTATACATGCCCTAGTACTGTAAATTTTACAAATTTTTAAAATTTAATTATTTCAAGGGTCTTATTGAATACTTTTTTATTTAAAATAAATGCAGTTTTATTTAAAAATTATATTTATAAACATTTATTTTGACAAAAATAATTCCATAACAAAAACAAGCAACTATTCTAAAAAGTGAGAAAAAACTCTAAAATCATAATATAAACAAAAAATTTGCTGAGTTATTTTTAAACTAAAAATGAAATTATCCACTTATAATAACCACACTTAAGCAACTCTAATAATATGAAGTAACTTTAAACTTAAAAAAAGTCAATCTTTTTCTGGACATTCCATACATATACCCTTTATGTGTTCTAAGCACATAAATTTATTGCATGAGTAACAACTGTAGTTTGTGTTTCGACTTTTCTTGCTTCCACAGAAAAAACAACGACCATTAGATCTTTCAATATTTTGTACATTCAATGTGATATCAAACATTTCTCTGAGTCACATACTTATCACCCTTGGCAGGTTTGTTGCAATTGTTCTAAGTCTTGCATGTGGTTCAAGCAGTTGAATACCCATTGTCTCTAAAAATGTTCTTCTAAGTAGTATGTGTTGGTCTGTCCTAGCAGAATTACACTTGTATATTGTAAATGAATTTATGCCGGCAATATTCAATATTGCATAAAATATCACCATGGGCCAACGATTAGTCGATCTTGCACAATTGTAGCTTTCACACATCTTATCAATAGTATTGACTCCTCCTTTGGTTTTGTTGTAATCAATTATTATGTTAAGCTTACCAGTCTTTGGATCCAATGTATCATCTTCATAATGCATTGTTGACATCAGAAGCACATTTTTTTCGGTTTATTTCTATTTGTACATAGACATACATTTCTATTTGTTCAAAAGAGTAACATTTCTATTTGTACTCCAGATAGGTCTGCACAAACGTACTACTAAATGCAAAGTCTTTGTGGTTTGCTGGTAGGGCCGCTCTGGTTGCTGACCAACATGAATTTCTAAATTTGAGGTATAAGCTAATTTAGCATCAGTCGAGGCATATATTTTTATACTGTACCTATTGGGTTTTTTGGCATATAAACTTTGAACCCACAGCAGCCCCTAAAGGCTTCTTTACAGTGAGGCAGATTCTTGAAAAAAAAAACCCTAGAGTTGGGCATCAACACCTACCACATATTCATGGATTCCAAAGCCACATACAACTCAGTTAATAGCTGTGAACTTCTGGCTTTTTTTATTTGTTTTAAAATACAATCTGTTACCTACAAACAAGTAACACTAAGCATTTTTCTGAACAAACATAATATGTAAGCAAATGTCCAAAATGGCAAAATGTATACAGCATGTTCAGCAGAAAGTCAAACAAGTGATGTGATATCTTGACAACATCATTGATACTCAAGTTGAACCACTGATATTTAACATAATTAATGAGAGCATAACATCAGACACTGATTCTAACTTTGAGTTTTTTTGTTTTATTTATTAGTCAGATATATAGAATGTTTTTATTTTTGTCAAATGATTTTTTCTGATCTGTGCATAGGTTTTTACCTTAAAACTTCGTTTTCCTTAAAAAACCAATGGGATGCAATTAAGAGCTCAGTTCACAATTGGCAACCTCATTTCAACCAGAAGCTCTTGGATGATACATTTTAATGTTAAAACATTTTTTACAGAGGTCTATTTTCGTAATTCAATATATTACAATAAATAATTCACATTATGTTGTTGGAAAACCTCATTCTAACATTTATTTGTTTATTTATTGTATGGCAATTGCAACACATTTAGAACAAAATTACAAACACTAAAAATATAGGTATATGACAAACTTTAAATAATTACAAACAAACATCAAGTGTATTAACATAATCAATTGACTCTGAAGTTGCAAACAGGAAGTCTTTAGGGCTACCGTTGTAGGATCTTGAGGGACACTCTTCAATAATGTGGTCGATCGTTTGGTTCTTCCCAGTTACATTGAGGAGACGGATTCTTTCCCCATTTATGTAGCATGTATGCACATCTGCCATGTCTGGTTCGGATCCTGTTTAGAGTGGACCATGTTTTACATGGAAGATCAAAACCTGGTGGCTTGTGGGTAATACAGGGCATGTTATTTTGCCATGCATTCCATTCTTGGGACCATGCATTCGTGATGTTGAACTCCTCATGTATCATTCTTGCCGTTTTCATTGGTGGTTTTCTAGAACGTAGACGGGTATTTCGTGCATCCTCTGTACCTTGGTGGATCGGCAGGTTTATATTGTTCATGATCTTTTTGTATTCACGTGTAAGTGCGTCAACTCGTTGTAAATGTGGAGGTGGAATGTGACTTAATACTGGAAGCCATTGGGTGGGAGTTGATTTAATTGTACCAGCTATCATCCATAGTGCTGTGCAGCTGAGTGTCGACCTTTTTTACGTGTGGACTGTGTAGCCAAACTGGGGCACAATATTCAGCGGTCGAGAAAACAAGGGCTAACTTTTAATAATTTGATTTCATCTTCCTTATTTATCTGATCATAAAATGTAAATGAATAAATTCAAGTATGTACAATTCTTTCGTGTATAATGACTACTAAATGATACGGTATACTGTTAATTACTAGTCTTGCCTATTATAGCTATTATTATTATTATTATTAACTTATTTTAGATATTTAATGTAATATTTTTATTATATACCCTGTTGGATGAATAATATGATATGCTCAGGGTAGAACAATGAGGAAAGTTTTCTTTTTATTAAGAGAGTTAATATAACTATAATGATTCTTAGTTAGATAAATATATTTTAAATACTTCTTTAGGTTTGTTGCCCCGACTTGCATTATGGGAAAGACTGCCAACCTTGTCCCGGATTCCCTGATAATGTATGCAGCAATAATGGAAAATGCAAAGGAGCCGGAACTAGGAAGGGAAATGGTCAATGCCAATGTGAAGAAGGTTATACTGGAGATAACTGTAATACATGCAATACAACTCATTATATTGTATACCAAGATGAGAAGAAAGTTTTATGTGCTCCATGTCATATATCTTGCGCAGATGGATGTACAAAACAGGGGCCTGATGGTAATATTTCAAATCATTGTATTTTTATGTGTTTTAAATTTAGTTACATACACCCCCTTTCGTAGTTGCTAACTCAAGAGGTTGCCTCTATGGGTCCTTGATAGTAACTGAGTTGAGCAACTAAGCGACCATAAATAGCTCAAACAGTATTGACTTTGTGAAAAAACTTTAAAGAACAAAACTTGCTTAGAGTTTAATCCTCTATCAACTCCCGTGATTATTTTGAGCAAAAGAATTTCTCCGAGAAGGGGTGGCAACCACTCCTGGGGCGGAAGCACAATCGGACTCCCTCCCCACACTCACCAAATTTCAAGCGAATTGGTTCAGTCCAACAAAATTTGAAGGTAAATAGAGTGACTCTGTGACTGGAGTACATGAGCTCGGATAAAAAAATCACTAGTGAAAAAAATCTTAACTTTTAAAATAGATGATGTGAAAGGTCTGCTAGCTACTTCTATAGAAAACGTCACGCTAGACTCATGGAAAATATCTCTCTCTAACTTGCATCTTAGATTTTCTACTGGTCAGCCTTGTCTGTTTTATGAGGTACTTAAACAAATACAGTGTAAAATGAAAAAGACAGCAAATATTTGATTTCACGCAAACAGCTCCTATGTATCTGTTGATACGTATTTTGACCTAATAGGTCTCATCAGAACAGTTATTCATAGGTGTGTTCTATAATTATTTGACTGTATGGGAATTATTAATATAGAAGTTGATCCCTTTTCTATAATATCAACCTAGCAACAGTGTTGTCATTAAAACTCAATTATTATCATTTCTCAGAAATTAGTGTACATTTTTCATACTCAACTTACTCATCTGCTTTTCCATAGAAACATTTGTAAAACAGTAATTCCTGAAATTATAACATTAAACAATCATCCCACCATAATGGATATTTGCCAAGATTCTATCTGTGTATCTACAGTAAAACACCTGTCATTAATCTTCACAAATATGTTTTGAAATATTATATCTCACATATTTCGCACTTGAATTTATTTGTTTTAAACAAATTGTTGATTAGTGCTTTAATAAATAATTAACATATTCAGGTTGTAACTCATGCAGGCCTGGTTGGACGCAAGACTCAGAAAAGACTTGTAGAGATATAAATGAATGTGCTGCAGAGAAAAGTCCATGTACTCCTTTACAATTTTGTGTTAACATGGAAGGAAGTTACACATGTATGGACTGTGATAAATCATGTGGTGGCTGTACTGGAAATGGTCCAGATATGTGTATAAATTGTGCCCGAGGATTCTACAAAAAGGATAATGTTTGTGTAGGTAAGTTTCTTCCAATGCTTATGATATTTCTTAGTCTTATAATGAAAAAAATAAACAGTATAAGTAATGAGAATTTTAGTTGAAAATACAAATTAAACAAGTTATTTTATTTTGTTACTTAAAATATATAAAAAAATCTGTTTAATTAAAAAAGACAATTCAGACATATACTTTTTAAAGTGAGTACTTCTTAGCGTTCAGTATGATGTTTTACATTGGCTCCGAATAATCGCTTAAACTTGCCTGTCGTGCAGTCCTGTCAGCTTCTTCGCTTCGCGTTATTCTGACGTGTGAGGGTACACACAAAAATTGAACTCTTCTTCCATGTTAATGAGCTTGGGATAGCTGATTTTTAGTAACTTTTCAAAAGGATGTTTCGGAAAAATATGTTTTAATGAGTTTAGGGAGCTAAAGCAATCTGTTATGGTCAGGGCTTTTGTGAAGCTAAGCTCATTAAAAAGTTTCACAGCACGGTATGTAGCGTAAAGCTCAGCTGAATATGTGCTACATACTGGAGGTAGACGGAAAAGAAGATTGTTTTCTAAGGAAACGATTGATGCCCCCACTGCGTCTTCGCACTTGGATGCATCTGTATAGATTTTATAGTAGTCAGGGTACTTTTCTAAGAGGACTTCGAACTTTAGCCGAATAAGGAAATTGTTTGTACTGGATTTATCAAAATAGGCCAGAGATGTATCACAGATTGGTAAATCGATCAGCCTCAGGGTATTTAATATCTGAGGAGAAAACATCCGGAAAATAAGTGTTTATATTTTGAAGTATGGATTTAAATATCTTGGAATATCTTGAAATTTGTTTACATATTTATTTGTAAAAGTATTTTGATATATTGGTTTTAAAATATTACAAGCGACTGAGGCTGCATGTGATAGGGCGAGGAACATGCGGTGGTGATGTAGCGGTGGTTCTCCTAAAAGATCATAAATGCTGGATACCGGGAAAGCTGGAAAAATATAAGACTTTTAGTATGAATGACATCTGATGTTTTAAGAAGAGATTGATTAGCAGTGGAATAGGCAATTGCTTCATAATCTAGCTTAGAACATATTAAAGATTTATACAGAAGAAGTAGAGTAGATTTTTCTGAGTCCCAGTTTTTCTTACAGGAAAGGATTAGTTGTGAGATGTGATCTTTCCATCTAAGCTTTGAACCAAAAATTAAACCTAAGAATTTGTGACAGAATAGCCATGTTGATTGCCAACGTTCGGAACGGACAAGGCACATCAAGAAGAAGAAGAAGAAGAATTTGGGATGATCTCTAAACTCCAACTGTTTCTCGTAGGTAGTTCAACGTAGATTCTCAGGGTTGGGTGTTGTGGCAAGGACTTTGAAGAGAATACAACTCCTATTGATTTTTCTATTGAAAATTGAAAAACTATAAGGTGGAACCAATTTTCGAGAGTATCTAAAGAGTTTTGAAGAATTGAGGACATTAAGGAGATATTTTTGCCTTTAATAGATACCACTAGGTCGTTAGCGTATAAACGGGCTTGTAATAGGGCTTGAATATTTTTGATTATATCATTTATTGCCACTAGAAACAATATTGGTTTGAGCACGGATCCTTGGGGTGTACCATTTTCCAAACGATAAATATTTGAAAAAATATTATTTATTTTCACTTGAAAAGATCTGTTGTTTTTGTTGCTTTTAACATTTTAAAATTTACTTTATTTTTGAGGTTTTATGCTTTTTGTGTCGGTTTAGGGTTGATCTACTTTCTCGGTTTGCTGTAGCACAACGTTCATTCCACCACGGTACAGGACATCGACGGTTAACGGACTTAGATTTACCAATAAATTTCTGGGCAGAGTTTAAGATAAGCTTAATAAACTGCTCCGTAGTTGAGTTAATATTATCTGTAATTTCTAAAGTGGAAATATTATCGATATATTCGGAGAATTTTTGCCAATTTGTGGAGAATTTTACTGTTATCATTGCATGTGGTTGTCTTTTTAAAGACGAATCACATGGTATGATTTTTCTGACGGATATTCTCAAGTTATAGTTGATTTCATGTAATCAAATGAATTGTCTTACAATAAAGTTGTCCCACGAACGAAACTCAGCAACATTGGCAATATCATTTTAAAGTCGTCTACTTTAAACTGAATAATATGTCTGAATTGTCAATATGAACAAGTCAGATAAAATTAAATTATTAGAAGAACTTTTCACCAAGTGACAAAAAACAAAATTTGTTGAATTTATTAATGTTTTTTTAATAATAAACACTAATAAATTTTCATCCTTGATTTATTTTTTTGGGTCATAATGTTCTTTGACAAAACATCGAAGATATCGAATACATCAATGATAGATTATTAAAAATCTCTATAAAAATGCGTAACATCACAACACACCTGATAAGCACGTATGCCCCAGACATATCTAAGCCCACAGCAGAAACTGAAAATTTCTATCAGCAACTACAAAACGTCGTAGATAACATAAATACGAAACACAAAATTATCGTACTCGGGGATCTTAATGCACGGATCGGAAACGGTGTCATACCAGGTATGAAACAAAAGTACAACGAAGAAATAATTAATGAAAACGGCGAAGAACTAATAGACTTTTGCGCTAGAAATGAAATGAGAATCAACAATACATACTTTCCTCATAAAGACCAACATAAATACACTTTTAACAATAATCGAGGCCAGCGATCAATGATAGATTTTATAATCACAAATAAGCGAGCGATAACTCTGTCACAAGTACTTGATGTCAGAGCACTAACATCTGCTAACCTGGGGACTGATCATAACCTTGTTTTATGTAAGATGCTACTAGAACGTCCGCAACGAAACAGAAAACCCCCAAAGTTCATCAAAAAACATAATATAGAGTCGCTAGCAACAGAGAGTACAAAACTGCCCTATGAGAACAGGATTACCAGCAAACTAAAAGAGATCGACTTAAAACCCGAATGCGGAGTAGAAGATACTTGGCAAAAAATTAAGAAACGCATCAACGAAGCAGCAGAAGAAGCGATTGGAAAACGGAAAATTAACACGAGAGCGACAAACCACACCAAACCGTGGTTTTGCCAAGAGGTAAAAGAACTCTCTGAATTAAAACGCAAATGCTACCTGAGATATAAAAGCACGCAATCCGAAGAAGCTTATGCAGAATATGTCCAAATAAGAAACGAAGTAAACGCCAGAATAAAATCAATCAAAAGAGAACATTGGGCGAAATTCACTTGCGACATGGACTACGACCTATATGGTGCCCAAAAGAAAGTATGGAAAATGCTCCGCAACAGGAAAAAACCAGTTAACGAGTTCGTGCAGACCAAAGGAGTACCTATAGAGACATGGCAACAGCATTTTAAAGAGCTATATGATGCTGAAGAAACGCTGAATATAAACGAAGGCGAAACAGATGTGAGTGCTACAATCAATGACGAAGAAGTAGAAGCAAAGATCAAAAAGCTAAAAAACAGAAAATCACCGGGAACGGATGGTATACCCAATGAATTTTTAAAATATGGAGGCCCGGAACTTGCAAGTAAACTGGCACAACTCTTTAACAAAATATTAAACAAAACAGAAACATCAGAGGAATGGCATAATAGTATCACAATCCCCATATTTAAAAAAGGACAAAAAACCTGCCCACAAAACTATAGAGGAATAACCCTCTTAAATACAACAATGAAACTTTTCACGGGTATTCTCAAGGACAAATTGGAAAAGCAAATCACTAATGCTGAAGGACAACAAGGTTTTACAAAAGGGCGGTCTATAACAGACGCAGTATTTATAATAAAACAAATAAAAGAAAAAGCTATAGAGCTCGGCATGCCAGCGTATATTTGCTTCATTGATTTGACGAAGGCATTTGACAGAGTTCGCCTGGGAGACATTCTAAATATATTAATAGAAAATGAAACACCGACCAGTATAACAAAGATACTCCATAACCTAAATAACAACAACGTAACCAAAGTTAGAGCAGGAGACGAATTCGCTGAAAATATTCCAACACCGGGAGGAATTGGACAAGGAGACAGTTTAAGCCCCTTCTTGTTTAATCTTCTCATGAGCAAAATTATCAACAAAGTAACATCTCTTAATCTCGGATATAGAATGGGCAACAAAAGAATTGGTATGGTGTGTTACGCAGACGATGCAGCAATTATTGCCGAATCAGAAGATGATCTCCAAAGGCAGCTCTTTCAGTTCTTTCAAACAAGCCGACTACTAAATATGAACATCTCTACCAACAAAACTAAATGTATGACAATAGCAAAAGATCCGCTCAGATGTAAGTTAGTGGTTGAGGACAACCCCATAGAACAGGTGATGCAATTCAGATATCTGGGCATAGATATATCAAGCACCCCACGACCCAGTAAAGGACCTGAGGAGTCAGATCAACAAAGCATCTGCACTGTCAGGATGTCTGCGGGAGATAGTCTGGTCAAATCCGTATATGCGCACAGATAGTAAAATTAGAATCTATAAGACTTGCATACGACCGATCATGACATATGGCATAGAAGTGCGCGAAGATACCAACAAAACGAAACAGATGCTAAGGGTTGCCGAAATGAAAACCCTAAGAACAATAATGGGGAAAACAAGAAGAGACAGAGTGAGAAATACAAACATTAGAGAGCAGTGCAAAATTCAAGATATTGTAAGATGGGGAAGGCAGCGCAAGAGGATGTGGTACAACCATGTAAGACGAATGGATGAGAATAGACTCTCAAAAATTGCCCTAGGAAACAATCCGTCCGGTTCAAGACCCCCCGGAAGACCACCTAAAAGATGGAGGGATAGTTGGCAATCTACCTCCCAAGAAATTAACCAGAGGTAGCTTCAGAATTAAACAGATCGAAAGATCTAGAAAAAGTAGAAGAAGAAGAATGTTCTTTGATTAGGCTATCATTCAATTGTATTAAACACATTTCTTTTTTCACTTTTCTTGTACGTATTGATTATTCATTCTCTTTTGGAAGAAGTCCCATCTCTACTACTATTTTTATTCCATATATTTTTAGATCAATGTTTAACTATTATAATATAACATTTATTTTATTTTCTTTTTCTAGATCAAGCTGAAGAAAAACGTAGAACGATAGTTTCCTTTTCAAGGTATTTTACATACTTAGGTCTATGCGTAGCAACATGTATCATATTCCCAAGAAACAGTTACATAGCAGCTGTAGTAGGGCTTGCTGTAGCCTGTTATATAACAGTATCTGAATATACCCTAAACTCCACTCATACCATTCAGACTTCTGGTGTAGAACAACAAGTATCAGAGAATGTTTTGAAAGCGATAACTGGAGAGAACTAAACTTTTTGTTTCTTGATTTAATATTGGGAAAACCGGTGACCTCAAACATTATTTTGTGATATATTAATAAAGTTATGTTAGACTTTTTGACTATTGATGTTTATATTATTTTTAACATTGTCAAAATTACAATCATCAATATTATTTGTTGGTCATTGACATTTTAGGCGAATTTAAGATTATGATTACAAATGACCGACATTGAACAATATTTCTCTACTATTCATGTACAAAGCATTGGAAATTAAACTATTCATTAAAATTATTCATTTTCTCTCTTCAATGGAAACTTTGTGCAGAACCACTGCTGTCCTGTTAAGAGAGAGTTACTGTATAATATTTAGATAAAAAATAAACTTTTAGTTAAATACCTAACCGTCACAATTAACCGCTCCACTTTGTATTTCTTTCAATTTGCAGAAATTGTCAATTTTGGACCACATTTTATGAAAGGTTGGGTGAAAACTACCTACGAGGAAAAGAAAACAATAAAATTGTTGAAAACAAAGTCGGTTATCAAAAACCATAGTCTAATTAAAAATATTATGAGTAATAATAATAAGTGTTGTCGCCTCTTGCCATTAGTACTTCTTGGAGCCGGTTCAGCAATCTATTCATGATATCCAGGATATTCGATTAGGGGATATTGTGCCACTCCTCTACCGCAGCCATCTTGAGCTTTCCACAGGATGTAGGGGCTGACACTCTTGCTCTTATCCATCTTTTGAGGTTGTCCCAAATCTGTTCAATTAGGTTAAGATCGGGTCTGTGTGCCGGCCGTGGTAAAACTTGAATCCCGACCTTATTAAGGTACTCACGGGTGGATCTAACGTGCATTGTCATGCATCAATCTAAAGTTTTCGCCAATCAACGGTGCGAAAGTCGTAACATGGTCTTTGAGAAATTATTCCACATATCTTTGAGCATTCACACTGCCTCTATCGAACACAACAAGATCAGTACGAGCTTCGTAAGAGATACCTCCTCAAAACATTATTGACCCTCATCGGTAAGCCACTGTTTCGGTTATAGTGCATGGAGCAAACCTTTTATTTTGACGCCTGTAAACACGCTGAAGTCCACCCGGACCTTTTAGGGCTATTCTGCTCTCATCTGAGAACAGAATATTCTCGCGCAAAACCAAGTCTAGCTGTACGCTGTTGTGGGAGCAGTTGCTGGGTGCGAGTTGGACGGAAAACCCTCAAATTTCTTTCTGCTAGTCTTCTTTTAAGGTTACGTTCACTCAAACTAAGATTTCTCACCTCAAAAAGACGCGTATGAGCTTCAGGGGCGTCACAAAAGCGATTTCTCAATACGTTGCTGACAATGAAGTGCTCCTCTCTAATTGCAGTGCATCGATATCGGCCTTGAAGTAGCCTGTGGTGTATGAACCTGTCTACGAAATCTTCTGATGGCATCTTGTACGGTAGTTTGCGCTACATCGAGTGTACGAGCGATACGACGTTGGCTGTACCCAGCATCAGTTAAAGCTACTGCTCAGTTTCAACGAGTGGCATTTTTTACAGTCTCAAACAATAAAGTCTCAAATTAAACAATATTTGCAGACTATGACATAAAATAACAGGAAATGTCAACACAGTAACACAATTGCAACAATGTCGCACAACGACTACTTTCCAAAAACCCTTCGGTGACAAGAGATGCGCGTACTTATCTTGACAAGCATAGTGGACATTCTGATTGTTTATTATTCATAGTTAATATACACAAACAGGGGGACGCATAATAGAGGTGGGCGGTTAATTGTGCCGGTGAATGTATAAAAAGCTGTATCGACTCTAACGTCGCAAGCAGAAAATGTTCAGAACTGCATTCCTATGATCAATTGTGACATTCCTTTTTCTTTTATGTTTATTTTTTGGATCTCTCCACGTGAAGATGGTATTTTGCAGTGTAGGAGACATCTATAGCGCATTTAACATAATTATAATATATTGTTAGGTGTCCATTAAGTATCCTTTTATATCCCTTAGCCTGTGTAGAAAGTCAATGGAATGTGGAGTTACTTAACATTATTTATTTTGTTAATTCTTCTGGAAATATCTGGATCCTTTTTAAAGTTTCCTTTTGCATTTACCACCTAATTTTCTCGATCAACCTTTTTCTTATTCGCCTTCCTTTCCCATTTCCTCCAGGTTTTCACATTAGAACTGGTTCTGCACTGTCAGACTGTATGCTGAATGCTATGAATTCACTTACAGTCCTATTTTACCTACCAGTGACAATCTTTTTATAGATCTTTTTAAAAAAATCATTCCTAGTCCTTTATGAATGAATTATGTTTCGAAATTTCTGTTTTGTCTTTATAGTATTAGAAATTGTAATAGTTAGAAAGGCCTATTATAACCATATCTTAAATTCTTTAAAATTATTTAAACAGTGGTTCTTTGTTGAAAATATTTGATCATCCCGAAATTCAATCTAGATGTGTTCCATTTTCCCTGAATTTCTCCTTTCACCAACCAATTAATATATTCTAGTCTAAATGTCCCACCCCCTACTGTATTTTGAACTGAACTCGATGCTCGTTCTTTTACTTAGTGGATTAGGATGAGGAACATTTTATAGTTCAGTGCAAAATCTTCGGACTAAATGTGATGTATCCATTTTGTGGATAAATGTGATTTAAGTAATTTAGGAATAATTTTTTGGTTAATATTTTTAATGTTATTTAAAACTATAATTTGTCGGTCTAAAAAAAGTTTACAGTTACAGTTAAACATTTAAATTATTAAAATTAATAATCAATAGCATTATGTCCATAAGATACTTGTGTAAACTTTTTTTAAGTGACAATTCGGTTTTGAAATTTTTAATTTTTGAATTATTTAAATAAAATATTTTTAAAACTATTCCTTTTTTAATCCAACTCCTGATTATATGAACTGATGCAGCATGGTAAGGTACGCCTCACAACCTTTAACATGAAAGACACACTCAAATCGATGCCCAAATAGCCCTGAACTGGGTAGCTTTTGGGATCAAGCCAGGAGGGCAGAGGGTGCTAAGAATCTGCGGAGTTACACCGCTACTCAAATAAAACAACAACGCTTTATATAGCGACATGTAACTGCCGCTCGCTATCAATCCAGACTTGTAGAACGGAAAAAAGAAACTGAAAACACAGAATACTAATCACAACAAGAAGCGAAACGGAGGGCTTTTTCGCAATCCAAATTTCTTTGCGCATGTGCGAAATCGGCCATAGTGTTAGTAGTGTTGTTTGTTTATATATTGAGAAGTGTTATTGTATTGTATTGAGAAGTTATTTAGTTAGTTATTTAGTTAGTTAGTTAGTTATTTAGTTAGTTAGTTAATTTAATATATTTGTGTAATAAACTTATTGTGATGGCTGCACGAAAGGATTTTATTGTGTGGTTCGTGGGTGCCCATCGAAAACTGGGGAAGAAATTAGTCTCTTTTCAATACCGACTGATCGTAGCAGGTAAACAAATTAAATTTTAAATTCAAACGTATTACAAATGTTGTCTGAATGTTTATATTTTAGTTAAATACACTTTTTTTAGAGGCCAATAGGTATGATCTGCTTTCAAAGGTGCTGAATTGCATACTAATTATAGAATGTGCGAGAAACGTTTTGAACCGGTGTACATGTACAAAGGAAACACACGGAAGTATTTATTTCAACAAGCACATCCAACGATTTTCTCACACAGCCAATATTCAAAACACACAGACGAACCATTAAAGAAAGTCATAAGGCTGGAAGGTAGATACTTTTTATTTATTCACAATTATAGTGCTTTATTATAAAAGTCACAGTATCTACTTACAACTATATACAAAGTTGTTTGTTGTTTTTCATAATATAAACAAGACTGGAATTGTGAAATTTAATGATCTTTTATCAGCCTTATTAAGAACATAATATATCTTATGGTTACATACTGAGTAATATTTATGTCGTGGTTTTAGGTACCACTGAAACCTATAATGTACAGGAAGTAATTAATAGTCCAACTGATAAAAACCATAATACTATACCTGATACTTTGATGGAAGAGTTTCTGGTAACAGGTAATTTTATTTATTGCTACAACTGTATTATGCATTCAACTAATCACTAATAAGCATTAACATATCTACTTTGAACGTTTATATGTTATTTGGTTATTAAATATATTTTTATATTTCAGATGTTAATAATCAGGAAGTGTCTAGCCCACCTAGCATATGCACCCAAAGCATATGCGTCTTCCAAACAGAAGGAAGACAATAAATCTTTAAAAAAATTTTTTCAAATGTGTGACAAATTTTTAAACAAATCCCTAGCACAAATAGTGAAAGCTCAAGCAATTTTAAAAACTAAATGTAAAAAACGAAGTCTTCAAAAAATTACTGAAAATTTGGTCTGTAAACCTGGTTTGAATAATGACCAAATATTTGATGCCCTAAAGTTAAAAGTGAACACAATGTTAGATCAGGACAAGCACTGTAGTATTTGTATTGATGAAATGTCTATTAAAAGTAATTTATTTTTTGATACAGGTCGTGATGAGATTGTTGGTCTATATGATATAGGAAATGGGAAAAAGGAATCAATAATTGCACAAAATGTACTTGTGATAATGGTTCGAGGCTTATATTTAAATTGGAAACAACAACTAGCATATTTCTTTGTAAACACTACCTTTGAAGCAAATCATCTTCTTCCTATTATAAAAGAATGTATTTCTAAACTATTTCAATCAGGTTTATATGTAAATTGTCTTGTTACTGATATGGGATCGAATTTTCTAAAATTGAGTAAATTACTGGGGATTTCTCCAACTAACTCAGAATTTGATGTCAATGGACAAAAAATTATTTATATATTTGATCCATGTCATTTAATTAAAGCCACTAGAAATAACTTAATTAATAATGTTTTTTATTTTGATGATAAAAAAACATCTTGGTCATTTATAGAAACTTATCATGAACATAAAAAGCAGTTCTATAAGTGTGCACCAAAACTAACACACTCATATATATCCTATATCTTTTGAAAAAATGCGAGTAAAACTAGCATCTCAAATTTTAAGTATCACAAGCTTGAGTAACAACACATAAGCTTGAGATTTCACAATTTATTAGGAAATTTGTCACATAATTTTTTAAACTGTTCTAATTCTTGTTTTGAGTCGTTTTGTTTTTTATATGTGTTTGTATTTAAAAGTTTCCATTTTAAAAACCTTATTTAACATTTCAGCTTAAACTTGGTCCGACTCTAATTT